GGCCGGGGCGGGCCAGGGTGGGCGGAAGGAGCGCCAGGCCGGAAGGAGTTAGAGGGAGGGCGGGAGGCAGGAGCGGGCCCGGAGCTGCTGGGCCAGAGCGGCGGCGCCGCCATGTCCGACAGCGAGAAGCTCAACCTGGACTCTATCATCGGGCGCCTGCTGGAAGGTTGGCCGGGTCGGGGGAGGTGGGCGCCCGCCGCGCCCTGGCCCCCTGCCCGGCCCGGAAGTGGCGCGCGGGTGGACCTGCCCCTCCTAGGGCTAGCTTAGACTGGGCGGGGACGGGCCGCGAGGTCCCGTGGCTGCAGCCGCTCCCCGAAATCGCGGCGCGTCTGGGACGTCTGGGAGCAGGGCTGGGGGCTCACGGGTTGGCCTAGGCTTTTGGGGTGAGGGAGAAACACAAGAAGCCTAGCGCCCCAGGAAGGGGTCCTGCGCTATGAGATTTTGGGTGACAGGCCCCTGCGCACAGCAGCCCCCTCTCGAGTGCCTTGAGGGTAGTTGGGGTTCTGTCCCGGAGGCTTGAGGGGGGATCCCAGGAGGCCCATCAGCGACAGCTGCCCCAGGGCAAGCAGGGGCCCAGGAAGCCCAGGTGTCCCAGAAGTGCCCATGGGGTCACCCGTGTTCTTGCCTGAGGGACCAGGGGCCTGATGCCTCATGCCACCCCCAGTGCAGGGCTCGCGGCCTGGAAAGAATGTCCAGCTGACAGAGAACGAGATCCGTGGTCTGTGCCTCAAATCCCGGGAGATTTTCCTGAGCCAGCCCATTCTTCTGGAGCTGGAGGCACCCCTCAAGATCTGTGGTGAGCCCCCTGCCCAGGCCCTTTTGTTTCCTTAAAGTGGCTTTGCCCTCCCCCCCCCGTAAAGTCCCTGGATCCCTCCTCCCTTGAACCCAACCCTGGCCCTGCATTCAAGTTTGGACTGCACCTAGTACTGACCTGGTTCTCTGGGTCACAGGTGACATCCACGGCCAGTACTACGACCTCCTGCGGCTGTTTGAGTACGGCGGCTTCCCTCCAGAGAGCAACTATCTGTTCCTGGGGGACTACGTGGACCGGGGCAAGCAGTCTTTGGAGACCATTTGCCTGCTGCTGGCCTATAAGATCAAGTACCCCGAGAACTTCTTCCTACTCCGTGGGAATCACGAATGTGCCAGCATCAACCGCATTTACGGCTTCTACGATGAGTGTGAGTAGGCTTCAGGCCTGGGGCTGCCAAGATCCTAAACGGCCCTGTCATTCAAGGGGACCCTCATGTTGGCCTGGTGGTAGGGGTATCCGTGTCTGACAAAAACTTGTCAGGCTGAGCTCAGTGAAGGCAGGGCCAGGCCAGTTCATGTCTCTGGGCCCTGCCCTCCTCCCCCTGCTTTCCCCGCATGGATCCTGGCACTCCGGACGGATCTGGTGAAGCTGGCTGAAGGGCTGCCACTATTCTAATGCAAGGCCTTGCCTGATGACATTTCCCTCTAGTACATCCGTTACTTAAGCACTTAGGAAGCCTGTCTGGACTGGACTTTGTTGGCCAGAAGCTGAGATAAACCAGACGTGGTCTTGGCCTGGCCCTCCTCATGTGCTGGGGGTGGGTGCCAACTCTGAGGTTGTTCCAAATTGTAACTCTGGGGTTCCTGGCAACTTGGCTGCTTTAGAAATTCCTCCTGGAAAGCTGGTAGGCAGTGGGGGGAGGGGGGTTTCCCTTCTCGCCTTCCATTCTCTTCTCCCTGCTGTATCTGAACAGCACACAGTGTGCCCTGGAAGGCCCAGAGACCCAAGCTGAGGGTGGGGCAGACAGGCCTTCTCATGAGCCACCTCCTTCCTCTGGGCAGGCAAGAGACGCTACAACATTAAACTATGGAAAACCTTCACCGATTGCTTCAACTGCCTGCCTATCGCTGCCATTGTGGATGAGAAGATCTTCTGCTGCCATGGAGGTGAGGGCAACTCTGGGGCACATAGTGAGGGGATGCTTAGCAAGAGCCTGGTCACATCCCTCGGGGCTTTGGGACAAAGGTGTTAGCTGGAGAATGTGTTCCCAGTCACATTCCAGCTCTCTCTGGAGTCATGGTTTGGGTATCGCTTCTTCCACTAAGCACCCCCACACCCCAGCATTAGACTGCACTTAACTATTGTGGCCTTGGCATCATGCATGGATGCTTTGTCTCCTTTCTCCAGGGAGCTCTGTGCTCCCTGAAAGGACAGGGACTTGAAGAGGTAGAAGGTGATGAGTTCTGCCTGTCAGGGCTCCCAGGAATCCAGGAGGGTGGAGGGGTAGGGAACAGGGGCTGATTGGCCAAGGCTTCCTGGAGGAAGGAGAATCCTTGTTTTGAGGCTTCAGTAACCTGCTCCCTGTGCCCCCCAGGCCTGTCCCCGGACCTGCAGTCCATGGAGCAGATTCGGCGTATCATGCGGCCCACAGACGTGCCTGACCAGGGCCTACTGTGTGACTTGCTATGGTCTGACCCTGACAAGGACGTGCAGGGTTGGGGCGAGAATGACCGTGGTGTCTCCTTTACCTTCGGGGCTGAGGTGGTGGCCAAGTTCCTGCACAAGCATGACTTGGACCTCATCTGTCGGGCACATCAGGTGGGCTGGCAGCTCTGGTTGGCTGGGAGTGGGGTCTGGGCAGCCAGCACCTGCTGAACCAACCACTCCCACCCTCATCCAGGTGGTAGAAGATGGCTATGAGTTCTTTGCCAAGCGGCAGCTGGTGACACTCTTCTCAGCTCCAAACTACTGTGGCGAGTTTGACAATGCAGGCGCCATGATGAGTGTGGATGAGACGCTCATGTGCTCCTTCCAGGTGGGGATGGGGACAGAAGGGGCCAAGGGCCTGTGACTCAGCCTCATGAGTCTGACCAGCTTGTCTCTTTTAGATCCTCAAGCCCGCCGACAAGAACAAGGGGAAATACGGGCAGTTCAGTGGCCTGAACCCTGGAGGCCGGCCCATCACCCCACCCCGCAACTCCGCCAAAGCCAAGAAATAGCCTCCATGTGCCCGCCCTCTGCCGATGGTGGATTGTACAGAAATCACATGGCTATAGAGGGGTCACGCTGGCCCCCCCAGGCCCACCTGTCACAGGGAACACGGAGCCTCGGTGTATTTTTTCTTTTTTTTTATGAATCAATAGCAGCATCCAATCCCCCACGGCTCTCTCTGCCTGTCTCGACAGTGGCTGCAGGCAGGATCCTGGGGCTGAGGCTGCAGCTCAGGGCAAAGCAGGGCCAGATTGTGGGTCTCCGGCCTTGTTTGGCCTCAGGGCTGGCAGCCGGATCCTGGGGCAACCCATCTGGTCTCTTGAATAAAGGTCAAAGCTGGATTCTCACCATGGCCTCTGTGTCCCTTGTCCCAAACACTGGGCCTGGCAATCCTTCTGCCCAGAGCCACTTGGAGGCTTGCTGGGCATGGGGCACCAGCCAGGGAAACTCCAGCCACACACTCAGGTCCACAGGGGCCCCTGGAATTCCAAGCCAAGGCCAGAGAGTATTGGAAAAGCAAGCAAAAGTATCTGTGCCAGCCACAGGGGTTTCCCGAGGTGTGCCCAGGATTTGAGGAAGGGACAGGTCATGATTAGCAGAGAAAATGAATCAGCAGGGGCCTGAAGCCCCACTGTGATTTTTTTTTCCCCTTAGGGAGGTGGGCTTAGAGGACAGGCTCTAGCCCTGGCCATACACCTGGCTGGATTAAGAGGTGAGGGACCTCCTGGCAGGTGGCAGCTCAACACGGAGCCTGGGAACAGACATGACTTGGGGCCAGAGGGAAATGACAGGACCCCGGCCAGTCACAGACAGCCAGGCAGGGCCTGGGGGAGGCTGCAGGACCAGCCAGCTCAGCTCCAGCACAGCCCACCTTTGCCACCCACCCAGGAGGAGAGCTGGCCCTGTCCCTGCTGGCACTGGGGAGAGGCGGAGGCTGGGGCTGCATCTAGTCCAGTCCTCCCAACACAGATTCAGCCTTCACCCTCACTGTCTTCAGCCAGCACAGGGCTGGGGCCCTGGGGAGAGTGTGCAGGGGCCAGGATGGAGCCAAAGAACAGCGAGCGGAACTGGGAAGAGAACAGAGGAAGCCGAGTGAGTTCTAGAGGCTACTCCCTCCACACCCCCCCCCCACCCCCGTCTCCAGCCCCTACCTTCTTGGGTGGTGGAGTCCCAGGCACTGTGCTGGGCTCAGCAGCATCTTCCTCCTCTGAGCAGGGGCCAGGGCTACAGTGGGGCTGGACGCCAGGTGAAAGGGAGATGGAGGGCAGTGCCCTCGAGCCCTCACTGCCCACGGAGGTTTCCATGGCAATCATGTAAGAGTCAATGTCGTCAAAGGCAAAGTCATCCAGGTGGGGTGTACTGTAGGCAGAGACAGCATCAGCAGAGAACTGGGAGGGAAGTGGGGTACAGAGGCAGGGCCCCACCTTAGAGGGCTCAGGGGGTGCTGCAGGGGCCTTGTGACTGTTGGTGACCTCTTGGTTTTACTACTTCCTGGTTTGGTTGGAGGGGAGGGGATGCAGGGGTTAAGTAGCTGCTTCCTGGAAGGGGCGGACCTGGAATCCTTTCATCAGAGTTCAGGTAGAGGCCTGAGGGAGGCATCCCAGCAGCCAGATTAGCTCAGCAGGGGGAGGGGAGCAGCAAGTCCTGTGAGCTGGGCCACCTGGGGGCCAAGCCCCCACCTTCCCAGGAGACAGGAACTGGAGAACACTGGGGCCCAGGGACATGCTGGGCAGGTGGCCAGACCAAACTTCCTCTGCTTTAACTACACTGGGCCCATCCTTCCCCAACCCACCTGCCCTTTCAGCCACCTGCTTCCCCCATTCCAAGCAACCCCCTGCCTCCCAGCAGCCCTTTCCCTCCTAGGCCTGGGACAAGGCTCAAGGGGAGGCCTCAGCCAGAGAAGGAAGCCAGCCCGACCTCGGGACACTTCCCTGGGTGGGAGGGGTCTGAGTACAGCTGACTGGTGAGGCTGAGCCTGTAGGGGCTGGGGCCTGACAGGAAGTGGGAGCGGGTGGGGGGGAGTGGGGGGTTGTGTAGAAGCTGGAAGCAGCAGGCTCAGGCCAGGGTGCACAGAGGTGGGGCGGGGGAGGAATGGGTGGGTGGGGGCTCTACCTGTGAGCCTGAAGTGGAGGTGCTGGCCGCTGGAGCTGTGGGGAGCGCAGATCCTGGGCGTGCAGGTATGGCTCTAAGAGTGTGGCCAGGACAAAGTGGCCCTCCAGCAGAGAGTCCTCGATGGCAAAGATGGCTGGCCTGGGCAGGTGATGGGTCCAGGCACGGTCAAGGCCCTTTGGCTCCTGCCATCCCAGAACCCTCCCCTCCCTGTCCTGAGGCTGGGACTTACCTGCCCGGAGCATCGAAGTAAATGCTGAGAGACAAGTTTGCTGACTCTGCGAAGCTCAGGAGCCCCTGGGAAGGCAGAGGCAGAGCAGTGAGGCCCTGGGCGCGGCAGGGCGGAGAGTGGACAGGGTAGTGAGTGTGTGCGGGGGGCCTCACCCGGAATTCCTTGAGGCAGAAAGTGATGGCTACCCCTTCCTGGGCCTGTAGCTGCTGGAAATCCTCCTCCCCGATGCTCATCTCAGTCACCATGGCTTTGACGGTGCTGTCTATGGGGGCAGGAACAGGAGGAACCTGGACCCCACCCCCTCCCACCCCATCTCTGCTCCCTGCGCCGGGCTGTGTCTGGCTCCCTCACCTGCCTCCTCCTCCTGGTAGCTACGCAAGATGACCCTGCGGCCGCAGCCAATGCCCAGTGTCACTTCGGCCAGTGCGGGGGGGAAAGGCAGAACAGCCTCCCCCAGGACCCTGTGAGGAGGGCACAGCATTACACCCAAGGCTCAGTCCTGCCCAGTGGCTCTGCTCTCAGAGGCAGGGCAGTGACACACCAACATCCAAAGAGAACCCAACCAGGCCTTGCATGTCCGAGGAAGGGGACAGGAGAAGCAGGACACGGTTCCTGCCCCCAAAAAATGTTCCCAGGCTGTTGTGGCAGAGAAGCCTGCTTGCAAGAGATGGGGCAGACAAGAGCGGAGCCCAGAAAAGAATGGGCTGTTCGGACTGAACCAAACTAGGCAGGCAGCACCTGTCCACCCAGGGGTGGGAGACCATACCCATATTATCCGCATAAACCCGGCCTTCAGAAAGAGCCCTCAGATCCTTGTCTAGTAGGATTTAATATTTACAGGTGAAAAGAAGACATCTGGAATTTACCTCAAGGCAACTGGAACAGGAGTTGGCATCTACTTTTATGTGCATTTGAAATTGTTCATAAAAAAAGAGAAACAATTGCTCATTTAAAGAAAGAAAGGAAAAAACCCCCAAGACTCAGACCAGGGACTGATTCCATCTTTCTTTACCCAAATCCTGGTCTATATCAACAGAACTAATAAAATCAGAAAGTCAGAACCCAAAGGGACCTGCCAGTTACCATGTCCTACACTACCCAAAGAAAAGAAACAGAAGACCTTGGGTAACTCGAAGGCAAGCAGCATCCAGCATGTGGGGTGGGGAGGGAAGAGAAGCCACTCCTCTCTACGCTAGCCTTTGCCAGGGACCTTTGCATTCACTGGAGTCCCCATCTCCCAGGCCCTGCACAGCCCCCTGGTGCTCTGTGCCCAGAGAGGCTCCACTCCTACAGCTGCTTATCCAGGCAGCCCTCCTGGACCACAACCTCCCCGGCCAGCCTCCTGCCTTGGCCTGGGGACTCCAAGGCTACATACAGCCCAGTCGGGTATGAAGAGAGGCTGCCCTTGAATGGGAAACATCCCCAAGAGGACAACCAGGACAGAGAAGGGTTATGAGTCTCTGAGCCATAAAAATTAAGGGACCTTCCAGGGTGCTCAGGTCAGAGGAGATTTAAGGGCAGGTCAGACACCTGCTCTCTAAAAGAGGAGTCAGAATGGGTCTGAGTGGTCAGAAAGCCAAGCCAGAACTGTGAGGTGGAGAATACAAGCTCCAGAAGACAGCGAGGAACATGGAACAGGGGAGCACCCACCCTCCTCACTCCATCCTCTCCCTGTAAAGAGCCAGAGAAGGAACTGAAAGCAAACGGAGTTGGATGAACTCTTTGAGGTTCACAGAAATCCTGTGAAGATGGAGGAGGGACCTTGTTAAACTGACCCCTGAGGCCCAAAAATGGAAGAGAGAAACCTAGGGCTCAGCCTGCAGCCAGGGGCGTGCTCACCTTGCCGGGGCACGGAGCACGTGGGGGCACAAGGCTGGGTCGAAGACAGCCTGCAGGGACTCGCAGTCCTGGAAGGACAGGTTGTGAGTCTTCCTCACCCCTGGATGGGCAGACAGCGTCTCAGTGGGCCCCGCCAACCTCCACCCCCGCACCCTAAGGACCCAGCCAGCTGCTCACTCACCGTATCTGCAGTGCAGCTGAACTACCAGGCGGCTGCTCCTGCCATTCAGGGAGATGCAGCATTTCTCCACGGTCTTCTCCAGCATCGCCAGCGAGCGGAAGACAGACAGGAACGACTGAGTGGGGAAAACACATCAGCCCAGTATTGCGCCTCCACCAACCAACTCTCACATCCCCTCAGGCCCTGGCGACATCATGGGCTCAGCCCTGTCACACCAGGAATGGGCCTCCCACACATGCAGACATTTATGCCCTTCCAAACCTTTGTGCTGTTCCCCTTGTCTAATGCCCTGAAAGACCTGTTTACTTTTTAAGGACCAACTTGAATGTCATCACTCTTTCAAGGTCTCCGGCAGAATCAATTACCCTCTCCATATCTCCTGTTACCCTCTGTGGATGTCTTCGCTATGCGCCCCCTCACTGCATTTTATACTGGATTGCTCCTACATACATCTCTGTCCCCAGCTGGCGTCTACTGTGTGCCCCAGAGCGAACGCACTGCTGTTACCGGTTCCTGAGGGAATGAGCTGCCACTTCTGAGGGAAGGGCCTCACCTTCATCAAGATCTTACAGCGCAGCGGGTCCTGACCAGGGGTGGCTGCCTGGTACTGCTGGAAGAAGAGCGGGGCAAAGAGGAAGCAGGCGTAGGCAGAGCGGGAGGAGTTCACAGTCCGGAGGGAGAGCTGGGCCAGGAGAAGCAGGGAGCGGGATGCAGTCATCGGGAGTGACATGCCCAGCTCTCAGCTGGCTTTTGCTCACACACTTGCCCTAATATCCTCCACTTCCACCATCATCTGTTGAAATCCTCCCTCTCCTTCCAGTCAGCAGGTACCTTCGCCATGAAGCTTTCCCTGAGTCGGCCTCCCACCGCTCCCACAGCAAGGGCTCTACCCAACGGCCAGCACGCTCAGCCTTTTACCTAGTCACCCCCACCCGCCACCAGGCACCGGGCACTTCTGGGAGACTAAATGCTCTCAATTCACACACCAGCCCGGGAACATGACAGAGCCCAAACTGATGCCCCAGCAACAGGAGAGGGAACTAACTCAGCAGACAAATCTGCCCACCGGCATCCTGCCTGATGGGAGCGAGACTCGAGCCCAGGTTAGGGTTCCCAGTTGGAATCTTACCCACCCCAATACCCTGGCTCCTCACCCCGTCTTCCAGGGGCTCCAGGTAGAGTTCATCCCCTATTCGGGACAGGGAGTGCACGGCCTTGCCGAGCACTGCGGGAAAGAGAGGAGAAACATCAGTTGGGCTGGCGCACTGGGCCGTCCCAGCCCGCAGGCCAGCCCCAACTCACCCTTTACGTTGCCGCCCGTGACCAGACACTTCATGCTGCCCCTCGCGACCGGGCTCAGACTGGCGCCGACCCCACACTGGGCCCCCCGCTCGCTGCTTCCCTCCAGGTCTCGCCTGCCGCAGCGGACGCCCCGGGTTCCCTTCCCGCGCACCGCCCCCGGCAGCCCCGCCCCCGCCTCCTCATTGGGCCGCAAGCCCGCACCTCCGTCACGTGAGAAAAACGTTCAGCCGGCTGCGCATCACGTGATGGAGTCCTGCCGGGGGCGAGCCCTGGTCACGTGAGCGCCAATCGCCGCTTCTTGTGGTCCAGGCCCATCCTCCGCCCTTCCGCGCCCCTGGGGAGCCGGTCTCGTCAGCTGGGCCCAGCGCGGCTGCGCACCCGAGCGCGAGGAGCCCCGAGGTCGCGGAGGAGCCTGAGATGTACGGGCGAGCCCCGCTGGGTCACTAATTTAGTACGGATTTCCTGGGCGTTTATCGGTTCAAAGCAAGACCGTCCTCATCCGGGCCGGGGACACAGACAGAAGCAGCAACCACCACCTGTAAAAAGAAATTAAAGCAATTTGCGGCAGGATCCCGGGGTGGGAAGTAGCTGTTGGCTATGGCTTCGAGGATCCTTCGTTGATCCTGAAGAACAGCAGATGCTCCGGGCAGAAAAGGGTAGAACGGTGTGGCTGGCAGGGGAAAACGACAGTAGAGACTCAGCGGGCTATGGGGCTTTGCCCCTTTGGGAGGGACGTGGGTCTGTGAGAGTAGGGGTGGGTCCATGAGAGGAGGGGTGGTGGCCGCCAAATGATGAGGATCACTGATGGGAAGCACTGGAAACGTTGTATGAGGGTAGACTTATGCTATGTGGCCATTTAAGAAAGACCAAGGGATTGCAAAGGAGGGGGTTCAGCAGCCGGGCAGGTCTTCCCCTGGCTCCGGGCCTCAGTTACCGGGTGTGTGAAGTGGAAGGGAAGTCCTGGAGGGGCTTTCTGACCTCTAGTTCCTTAGAGGGGCGGCGCCCGATTCTATAGTGCTTTGAAGGGCCCTGGGCATCCCTGTGTTCCTTTATGGCCTACCTGGCCTTACCCCTCTAGTACTGACTGCAGTGAGGAAGCCATATTCATTCGTCTGTGAGCCCCTTGCCCTCCTGCTCCTGGCCTGGCTCCCACTTCTAGACCCCACTTTCCTTGCCCTCAGCTCCCCTCCCTCACCAGGTTTCCCTAGGGTACTGGGGGAGATTATTCTTGCTTTCTAAGGGAATCAGGTAAATGATACCACCTCTACCCAGGCATTTAGGTCACAAACTGGGAGTCATCCTTGACCCCATGCTCTCCCACACCCTGCACATTACCCACCTTCAGCAAGCCTTGACTGCTCTGCCACCCGAACAGATGGCAGCTTCAGCCTCTTCCATGTCCACGGCCATCAGCCTGGCTCAGGCCATCACTTCTCACATGAGTGGTCCCCTGCCTCCAGCCTGTCTCCTCCAGTTCACTCTGTACAGCACCAAAATGACCTTTCTAAAATACCAATTGTGCCACGCCTCTCCCTTGTTTAAACCCTACAGTGGCTTTCAACTATTACACTTGCCATAACATCCAAACTCCTTACCCAAAAGGAGCTAGCCCCACCCATCTCTCCACCTGTCTCTGGCTTTCCTGTGTAGCCATGCTGGCCCCGTCAGTTCCCTGAACCAACCACATCCTTTTCCGCCTTGGGTTCTCTCTGTACATGCTGTCCCCACCACTTGGAATGCTCTTACCACTTTTCACACGCTGGCTCCTTCTCTTCCTAGGCCTCAGCTTCAGTGGCCCACCCTCTGATGGGCCTTTTCTGCCTCCCCCTCCACCACCCCTCTGCTGTCTGGGTAAGCCTTTACTCTGGGTTGTCCACAGCGCTGATCACAACTCAGCTTTATTTCATACATATCTACTTTAATCCCTGTCTTCCCCACTCGTGTGTCAGTCCCATAAGGGCAGGGACCAAGTCTCTTTTGTTTGTTGCTCTGTCCCCTGTACCTCGCATGGGGCCTGGCCCTCAGGAGGTGACCAGTATGTGCTCAATGGCTAGATGTGTAAAGCTGAGTTGCCTCTGGTTCCCACTTAGTACGATGCTGTGATGAAAGAAACAAATCCAGCTTCCAGCCTCTGCCCACAGCCCCACCCTGCCCTGGACAATAGCTCTCCCCCAACATTCTGTCCAGAAAGCCCCAAATAACCTAGCATTAGTATCCCCTTCCTTATTTCTCCTCCTTCTCTGTGGGTCTCTTTGTCCCAGTGAAACTCAGCATAGCCTTCACGGCTTCTCCACCTCTTCGCCACAGCCATTACCTGAGCATCCCAACTGGAACAGGAGGTAGGTGCCAAAGCCCCCTGGGAAGCAGGGAGGGGAAGCTGTGACTCGTCACATAGTTGTGTCCCTGTCCCTGACACCTATGGGGCTGTGGGGTCCTGTGGCCTGGAGGTCTTTGAAGCAAGGCCCTGGGGAGAAGGCGAGGGAAACAGACTCTTTTAGGACTTTTAATAACTCTTTCTTCAGCTGCACACACCTGCAGAAGTTTAGGAATTGCCTGACACTTCTGAAGGGCTCAGATAACAGAAAGAAGCCTAGAGTCCTGGGTTTCCAGCCTGTGCTTCAGCGCCCACCTGCTGTGTGACTTTGTGCAAATCCCTCCTGTCTCTGTGGCTGTAGAACGTGGTTGGTCGCAGGAGATGCTTACTGAGGTCCCTTCCAACGTTGACCTGCTGTGACTTCCCAGGGGGCCCTCCAGCTTCCCTGAGCCCCTCACCCAGCCACAGCTCTGGAGAGGAGCTGGAATTGGTTGTCCTGATTCCCCCAGGCTAGGGGGCTCTCCAATCAGAGGCTGAGCATCCTCTCCAGGCTTGCAGGTGGCAAAGCAAGGAACACCTTTCAGGTCTGGAAGGAAGGACGTGCAGCGGGGGGATGGGAACTTTGTGACTCCAGCCCTATTCACAGATAGCTTCCAGCAAGTCAAGGCCCTTGTCTGGGCCTGAGTTTCCTCCTTGATAAAGTGAGGGGATTGGATGAGATACTCTCAAGATCCTTATAAATCTCAAATTTTTAGTCTTCGCTGCATCCCACATTAGAGTTGGCTTCCTACAAGTACACACTTATGTGAATATGTGAGAACGTGTGTGTGTGTGTTGTGGGTGGATACGGAATAGAGGGAGGTGATTACCATTTCAAAATTTTAAAATAATTATCTGACTGGAAATTTCTTCCTCCCTTCAACTGTCACTTCTCACCCAATTTTTTAGGTTTGACATGGCAGGATCCTCGGAGCTCAGTAATTCATTCATTCGACACACGTTAGACGCTTTCTAAGCGTGGGAAACAGAGCCCAGGACAAAAATCCCTGCCCTCATGGGCTTCTGCTCCACCAGAGAGAGACAGATTGGGGGGAGTGACTGCCACGGCTCTGATGGCGTCTGCTGGGCTGTGCACACACACGGATGGGATTTGCATGGTTACTCTGGAGTTACCAAGTGGGCAGAGGAGCTCTGAGTTGCTGGGGTACTGAGCTGGTGGGGCGGTACTGGCCCACCTATAATGCATTTGTGGCACACTGGGTGCTTTCAGACCCACAGGCAAGCCCTGCCCAGGCCTTTCTTGTTCCCCAGCTTTTCTCCCAGCAACCAGAAAAGGCTTGGCACATGGCAGTGGTTTAATAAAACATGTTGGATGACCGAAGGGTTTAGGATTCAGAAAGGTTCCAAGACTTGAGCCTGGGTTGTCTGTTGAGGTGGACAAGGGGGTTCTAGGCACCAGACTGCCCAGGTCTGAATCCTGGCTCCATCACTCTCAGGCAGTGTGCAAATGGATGCATTGCTTATATTCCCTGCGCCTCAGTTTCCTCATCTAAATTGAGGGAGGAGGGATAACAGTCCCTACCTCAGAGGGTGGTGGTGAGGATTAACATAACCAGCGTTCGTAAAGCTCTTAGCACACATCGTCCGTGTCACTGTTGTTGTTATTGCTGTGTGCTGTCCCCGCCATCTCTGGAGTGTACCCTCCAGTTTCTAGGGGATTCTCTGGTCAGGACCAGGGACAAAATCAATCATCAGCACAGACGAGGCCAGGGTGAGTCCACAGGAGGAACACGGGAGGGAAGTTCCCACGCAGAAACATCACAGAGGGATGATCTGGAGGCCGGGAACTGGAAATACTCAGAGAATTAGGGTGGGGACAGAAGTCAGCCCCGGGAATAGGTGCGGGGGGAGGCCGGGTGCTGCCTCTCGGGCCCTCGGTGCCCTCTGCCTCGTGAGGAGGGTGTGAGCCCCTGCTGTCTCTGCCGGCTGCTGGAGGCTGGCACGAGGCAGCAGCTGCACCCACAACGCCAGCTCCAGGCATAGATGAGGGACCAGGGCTGGGGTTTCGAGGGGGAGATGGGGTGGAATTTTTTAAACCCACAGACGGAAAGGGGGAAGCTCAGGCTTGTTCACCAAAACCTGGCAGGCTGGAGTTACAGGGCCCCCTTGGAGCGCAAGCGAGGTAAGTTCAGGACAAAGCAAAGGCAGCGCACTTCACCCAGCAGGGGAGGACACCGATGGAACTCATTACCCCAAGATGTGGTCTCGGCTGGAAGTATAAATGGCTGCACAAAAGGTTTAGATAAATCTGTGGATGACAGCTCCATTCACGGGTTAGAAGGGGAAGGAGGCTGTTTGGGGCCTGCTGGCCCATGGGGAAGGCATCGGGGAGGCGACCTGGCCTCCCTAAGACCACCCCTCCGGGACCCTGCTGGAGGCAGGCTTCCCGCCACCGGGGCCCAGGAAGCAGTGTCAGTGTTCCTACAGCTGGAGTCCCCAGGCCCTTTCCTCACTGCCCCCAGTGCTTGCCATCCACTCTTCGGGGAGATGTGGGCACTGCCACGTCTGGGGAGAGCAGCCTGGCCCGGCTGTCCCCTAAGGGACCAGCAGAGGGAGACAGACACCACATCCAGTCTCAGCTTCCAGAACAGAAGCTTCCCTGTTCTGCCTCAGAGGGCAGGCAAGCACCCAAGGGTCCCAGCTCAGGGCTCAACACCGGGCTAGGGGCCCAAGGAGAGAGGGGGCCAAGGAGGCGTCCTCCCTGGCTGAGATGGGCTTACTGCAGGGCAGGTGGAGGAGGGGAGCCTTCAGGGAACTGGGGGCAGGG